GGTAATGGGCTAAATGCTGTATAGAGAATGGGGATATCCATAGTATATTTGATGAGCTAATAGGCTGAACGCTGCACAGAGGATGGGGATACCAATAGTATATTTGATGAGCTAATGGGCTGAACGCTGCATAGAGAATGGGGATATCCATAGTATATTTGATGAGCTAATGGGCTGAACGCTGCATAGAGGATGGGGATATCCACACTATATTTGATGAGCTAATGAGCTGAACGCTGCATAGAGAATGAGGATATCCATAGTATATTTGATGAGCTAATGGGTTGAACGCTGCACAGAGAATAGAGGATATCCATAGTATATTAATGAGCTAATGGGCTGAATGCTGCATAGATAATGGGGATATCCATAGTGAATTTGATGAGCTAATGGGCTGAACGCTGCATTGAGAATGGGGATATTTTTAGTATATTTGATGAGCTCATGGACTGAACACTACACAGAGGATAGGGATATCCACAGTACATTAATGAGCTAATGGGCTAAATGCTGTATAGAGAATGGGGATATCCATAGTATATTTGATGAGCTAATAGGCTGAACGCTGCACAGAGGATGGGGATACCAATAGTATATTTGATGAGCTAATTAGATGAATGCTGTAGGGAATTAGGATATCCACAGTATATTCGATGAGCTAATGGGCTGAATGATGCACAGAGGATGAGGATATCCACAGTATATTTGATGGGCTGGTAGCTGCGAAGAGAATGAGGATATCCACACTATATTTGATGATTTAATGAGCTTAACGCTGCATAGAGAATGGGGATATCCATAGTATATTTGATGAGCTAAGGGGTTGAACGCTGCACAGAGGAAGGGGATACCAACAGTATATTTGATGATTTTATGAGCTGAACACTGCATAGATAATGGAAATATCCATAGTATATTTGATGAGCTAATGGGCTGAACGCTGCACAGAGGATAGGGTTATCCACAGTATATTAATGAGCTAATGGGCTGAATGCTGCATAGATAATGGGGATATCCATAGTATATTTGATGAGTTAATGGGCTGAACGCTGCATACAGAATGGGGATATCCATAGTATACTAGTATTTGATGAGCTAATGGGCTGAACACAACACAGAGGAAGGGGATATCCACTGTATATTAATGAGCTAATGGGCTGAATGCTGCATAGAGAATGGCGATATTTGATGAGCTAATGGGCTGAACGCTGCACAGAGGATGGGGATACCAACAGTATATTTGATGAGATAATGGGCTGAATGCTGCAGAGAGGATGAGGATATCCATAGTATATTTGATGGGCTGAACGCTGCATAGAGAATGGGGACATCCATAGTATATTTGATGAGCTAATGGGCTGAACGCTGCACAGAGGATGGGGATATCCATAGTATATCAATGAACTAATGGGCTGAATACTGCATAGAGAATGGGGATATCCATAGTGAATTTGATGAGCTAATGGGCTGAACGCTGCATAGAGAATGGGGATATCCATAGTATATTTGATGAGCTAATGGGCTGAACACTGCACAGAGGATGGGGATATCCACAGTATATTATTGAGCTAATGGGCTGAATGCTGCATAGAGAATAGGGATATCCATAGTATATTTAATGAGCTAATGGGCTGAACGCTGCACAGAGGATGGGGTACCAGCAGTTTATCTGATGGGCTAATGGGCTGAACGCTGCATAGAGAATTGGGATATCCACAGTATATTTAATGAGCAGTATATCTGATGAGGTAATGGGCTGAACGCTGCATAGAGAATAGGGGTATCCACAATATATTTGATGAGCTAATGGGCTGTACGCTGAAAAGAGAATGGGGATACCAACAGTATATCTGATGAGCTAATGGGCTGAACGCTGCATAGAGAATGGAGATATGCACAGTGTATTTGATGAGCTAATGGGCTGAACGCTGCATAGAGAATGGGGATAACCACAATATAGTTGATGAGCTAATGAGCTTTACGCTGAAAAGAGAATGGGGATACCAACAGTATATCTGATGAGCTAATGGGCTGAACGCTGCATAGAGAATTGGGATATCCACAGTTTATTTGATGAGCAGTATATCTGATGAGGTAATGGGCTGAACGCTGCATAGAGAATGGGGATATCCACAGTATATTTGATGAGCAGTATATCTGATGAGCTAATGGGCTGAACGCTGCATAGAGAATTGGGATATCCACAGTATATTTGATGAGCAGTATATCTGATGAGCTAATGGGCTGAACGCTGCATAGAAAATAGGGGTATCCACAATATATTTGATGAGCTAATGGTCTGTACGCTGAAAAGAGAATGAGGATACCAACAGTATATCTGATGAGCTAATGGGCTGAACGCTGCATAGAGAATTGGGATATCCACAGTATATTTGATGAGCAGTATATCTGATGAGCTAATGGGCTGAACGCTGCATAGAGAATGGGGATATCCACAATATTTTTGATGAGCTAATGGGCTGAACGCTGCATAGAGGATGGGGATACCAACAGTATATCTGATGAGCTAATGGGCTGAACGCCGCATAGAGGATGGGGATATCCATAGTATATTTGATGAGCAGTATATCTGATGAGCTAATGGGCTGAACGCTGCATAGAGAATTGGGATATCCACAGTTTATTTGATGAGCAGTATATCTGATGAGCTAATGGGCTGAACGCTGCATAGAGAATGGGGATATCCACAGTATATTTGATGAGCAGTATATCTGATGAGCTAATGGGCTGAACGCTGCATAGAGAATTGGGATATCCACAGTTTATTTGATGAGCAGTATATCTGATGAGCTAATGGGCTGAACGCTGCATAGAGAATGGGGATATCCACAATATTTTTGATGAGCTAATGGGCTGAACGCTGCATAGAGGATGGGGATACCAACAGTATATCTGATGAGCTAATGGGCTGAACGCCGCATAGAGGATGGGGATATCCATAGTATATTTGATGAGCAGTATATCTGATGAGCTAATGGGCTGAACGCTGCATAGAGAATTGGGATATCCACAGTTTATTTGATGAGCAGTATATCTGATGAGCTAATGGGCTGAACGCTGCATAGAGAATGGGGATATCCACAGTATATTTGATGAGCAGTATATCTGATGAGCTAATGGGCTGAACGCTGCATAGAGAATTGGGATATCCACAGTTTATTTGATGAGCAGTATATCTGATGAGCTAATGGGCTGAACGCTGCATAGAGAATGGGGATATCCACAATATTTTTGATGAGCTAATGGGCTGAACGCTGCATAGAGGATGGGGATACCAACAGTATATCTGATGAGCTAATGGGCTGAACGCCGCATAGAGAATTGGGATATCCACAGTATATTTGATGAGCTAAAGGGCTGAACGCTGCATAGAGAATGGGGATATGCACATTATATTTGACGAGTTAATGGACTGAACACTGCATAGAGAATGGGGACATGCACAGTATATAAAAGAGCCAATGGGCTGAACGCTGCATAGAGGATGAGGATATCCACAATATATTTGATGAGCTAATGGGCTGAACGCTGCATAGAGGATGGGGATACCAACAGTATATCTGATGAGCTAATGGGCTGAACGCCGCATAGAGGATGGGGATATCCATAGTATATTTGATGAGCAGTATATCTGATGAGCTAATGGGCTGAACGCTGCATAGAGAATTGGGATATCCACAGTTTATTTGATGAGCAGTATATCTGATGAGCTAATGGGCTGAACGCTGCATAGAGAATTGGGATATCCACAGTATATTTGATGAGCAGTATATCTGATGAGCTAATGGGCTGAACGCTGCATAGAGAATTGGGATATCCACAGTTTATTTGATGAGCAGTATATCTGATGAGCTAATGGGCTGAACGCTGCATAGAGAATGGGGATATCCACAATATTTTTGATGAGCTAATGGGCTGAACGCTGCATAGAGGATGGGGATACCAACAGTATATCTGATGAGCTAATGGGCTGAACGCTGCATAGAGAATGGGGATATGCACATTATATTTGACGAGTTAATGGACTGAACACTGCATAGAGAATGGGGACATGCACAGTATATAAAAGAGCCAATGGGCTGAACGCTGCATAGAGGATGAGGATATCCACAGTATATTTGATGAGCTAATGGGCTTTATGCTGCATAGAGAATGAGGATATGCACAGTATAGTTGATGAGCTAATGGGCTGGACGCTGCATAGAGAATGGGGATATGCACAGTATATTAATGAGCTAATGGGCTGAACGTTGCACAGAGGATGGGGATATCAACAGTATATAAATGAGCTAATGGGCTGAACGCTGCATAGAGAATGGGGAAATGCACAATATATTTGTTGAGCTAATGGGCTGAACGCTGCATAGAGGATGGCGATATGCACAGTATAGGAAAATTGTATTTAAAACGGTAAGTCTGGAACACCTTTATATTTCTAATGTTAAATTGTGGATTTGTCGTAAAAAGGGATACTAAGTAATAAGAAATAACAGCAGTATGGATGCATTCTCTAGATTTAACCTTGCGCCTGGTAGGCAGCCTTATCTGTTAAATTGGCTTGATTTGAAGTCTACAAAGCAAAAATTGCTAGCATGAACAAACTGTTTACCTTAGAATGAAATTCTATATAAAATGAATCTAAGCGAGACTTCCCTTGTCAAATGTGTTCTTGTAAATCTGAGAAGTGTACAGTGTCTTGTTCGTAACTGGTCGTCTAAAATAGGCGATACTACGCAGCTAAGAAAACATTATACAAATGTGAGTCTTAAGATTTGTGCAACGATACTGATAGTAATATACGACAAATAATAACTTATGTGAATTATCGTGAATCCGTATGAATTGTAATGCTCAAGCTTGCCTAATTTATTTTTGTCAATTAAAAATTTTATAATAGTAATATTAATAATAATAAGTCAAGTGAACACTCATTAAATTGAATGTTTACAATGATAAACTAATACTTTTTTTCTGTTTACCTTTCCTATATGCTCGTATTCATCTTTAAATGGGTTGTCTGTAAAACTGTATAATATCAGTTGGACAAGTATTACAACAAAGAACACATAATGGAATATACTGTTAATACACTTTGGCTGAAACAAATGTAAAGAATGAGAAAAGATCGATTGTAAAAATTAGTAACTGAAAAATAAAATTTCAACTAAGGTATAAAAATGCTATAATATACACAACAAATAATCGTGAAATTAAAATATAATATTACAGCCAACTCTGTTAAATTACTTATAAGTTATACATTTAAGTTTTAATTGAGCTTTTTCAAACAAGGCCAATTACGGGTCTGTCATGCAAGCAATTTGTTGAGGTAACTTGTATACTGAAGCATAACCGCTGAAGAGGATTTCCAAAACTATCTTCAATTGTACTTGATTGACGAAAATTTTCCTTGTACAATGAATGTGGTAAGATTTCAAACTATTGGTAAACAGGGAGTGACTGCACGGCAGTTGTCAAAATTGCTTACATCTAAATTTCAATATCATTTTTAGCTCCAGACCAAATATAAAATTTTTCGCTTCCTTAGAAGCCAAGAAAATATGACGAACATTTTTCGTGAACAATGAGTGTTGTAAAATTTCAAGTTATCTGAAATAATAATATATAGTATACAAAATAAAATGTGCACAGGACAAGATAAGAATGTTACAATTCCTATACAAGATCATTTAGTTATTATAATAGAAAAACAGTCGCAATTACTGAAAGCTAGTTCGAAGCAATCAATCAATTCACCTCCAATTGATTAAGTGTAAAAACGTTATAATCAGTCTAGGGAAGAGCATAACCTTTTGCAATGCCAAAATAAGGCATCGACAAGACTAAAGATTACAATCCATTCTTAGTTATATATTAAAATATAAAAATCAAATCAATGTTAATCCCGATAAAACAAAATAATTAACCGGCGATTGATTTCTTTTCGTACATGTTGATTTTTTTATTGAATTAAATTTGGTGCTGATGCCCGATCTTTGATAGTCTTTATTATTTTTTGTATAGTTCTTTAGACTCGTTACGATTTAAAACTTGGTTGATTGATTTATTTGATGTTTAACGCCAATTACAACACTATTGGCTATTTCGTGGAGGCATTTTTTTATTGGTGGACGAAGCCGGAGTGTCTGGAGTGAACTTCTGACCTTCGGCAGAAAAACTGGCAATTTTAGTGAATTAAGATTGGAGCCAAACACACCTGCCACGTTCGGGGTCAAACTCACAACCTCAGTGTCAACAGGCTAGTGATACAGTAGATGAACTACTAGACCACTCATCCATTGAGGCCCCTTAAATCTTAACACACACTTATAGGCGTCTTTTGTTAAATACCGTACCTTGACCTCTAGATGTCTTTTGTTTTATTGTTGGATTGCTGTCTCATTAAAGTATATCCCACATCTGATTTTATTAATGTATATAATGTGCAATCAATTGTTTTCTTTTATATACGTCTATCAATATGTTCGTTTAGTAAAGATAAGTGAAAGACAAATCCTGATATTTACCTGATTTGTAATATTCCACACAAGCGGTATGATATTGACAACAAAAGACAGCAGCCAAAATATCCACAACATCCAGGAAGTCATGACGCCTCTGTGTCGGTTTACTTGTGTAATAATGGCCACGTAAATCTTAAATTGTTAAAACATTCTACATATACAATTTATGTAATACCAAAAAATGTCTTTCATATTAGTATTTTCCTATTTTTTTATTTGAATTCCTGTAGATAACAAGGAGAGAATAATGTTTGTCCCGCTAAGGCTGTTTATTACATTCAGTTAATCGACTGCTGTTCTAGTGATCGTTCAAATTACGTTTCCCAAGGGTCGACTGGGATATAGAAGTACTGTAACATGGACTTCTCCAATCTAGCAGTAGAACCAAGGCTAAAGAGGGGAGTTTGAACTATTTGAAACTGGACGTTAAGCTAATCAACTTACGTTTGGTTATTTAATGATATATGATGTGGTGTTTATGATACCAATTAATAAACTAGACAAAAGATCATGCCTCACCCCATGGCTATAGTAAACGTGAAGTTGAAGGACAACTTGAGCTGGTTGTGTCATTCTATTTCCAATTATAATTGTATTAGCAACCAACAATCAACCAATCCAATTATAATTGATTTACCTCAAGGCAAAAAACATGGTCTTTGACATTGCTTATTCGGTTCCTTTTATGTGCGGTGTGAAAATGAAGAGACAATTCTCAATTTTAAACTTTTTCCATTCTTCAATTTTATATGTCTACATTTGAAATGTTTAAGGGTTATTTCCAAATTTTCACGAACATTAATTTATCGCAATTGTGGTGTCAAAATCTAAATGGTTTGTTATTCGTTCTGGTTATTATCAACATTCTAAATCCTATACGCCCACCCTTTATATATTTTCTTCAAATTTATTTCGTCCTTTTAACCCTTTTTCTTCAGAAAAATAACACAAATCAGCCCAAATATAAATACCTACGAAATTTAAATAGAGCTATAAATAAATAATAAAAAATAAGCTTTATTTAGAGTCGGCATATACAATCCAAGACATAACATAAGCTCTATTTAGAGTCGGCATAGTATACAATCCAGGACATAACATAAGCTTTATTTAAGAGTCGGCATAGTATACAATCCAGGACATAACATAAGCTTTATTTAGAGTCGGCATAGTATACAATCCAGGACATAACATAAGCTTTATTTAGAGTCGGCATAGTATACAATCCAGGACATAACATAAGCTCTAATTAATAACAACAACCCGTCTGAACTAAACAAGTTAAATTGCGCAAATTTATACGAATAATTAATGAATGCCTAGAATTCCTTGCATGTTTTGGTTCGAAACTTAAAACTGTTTTTGATTTTTATAACCCCGACTTGTTTAGACAAGTGGGCTTTCTTCCGAAGTAAAAATGTGATTGTATTTTCTAGCAAAATGCAAAAGAAACATTGATTAAATCAGGCGAGTGAACGTTTTATATATATATATCTTTATTTTCGTAAACCAAAGTATAATGTATACATATAGATTATAACATGTCCTTTTTCATATCAGACCCCTTTATTTACAGAGCTCCAGATAAGCTGCGTATTTGCGTGATCACGCAATACAAATAATTAAAAACCCAATGCAATTTGCCCATTGCAGGGTTCAATAACCCAATTAATTCAAAGGAAAACCCAATTATATGCCAAAACCATGAGTTCTTAACGCTTTTATTCGCTATCGTTTGCGTTATTTACCCTTATCTGATTACAGTCGTCGCGTAAATCTATTTTTATAATATTTATAATTGGAAATTTCCTTTCGTTCTTAAAATAGAGCCCTGCATCAAGTAGCTGTAATGGGTCCCTGTTGGAATTTCCGTTGCTCAAAAAGTACACGTGTTTATGAAAACATTTCGATCTTCTCGGCGTTTATCCAATTAGCGTGTGACATGGTGTCATATTTTTATCTCGGGATTTATCATAACATACAATGAATTAAAACGAAAGTAAATGTCCGATAAAAATATTGAATAGAAGCATGTTTTCGGCTTCTTTTTGATAGCTGAGGGAAAGTTATGATGATAACAAGACTCAGCTAGTGATTTTAGGAAGCGTCCATTGAACGCACGGGCGTGTTTAAAGGTACGAGAACATTAATTGCTATAGAACGATAAACACGGGGTTTCGTCAAAAACGAAATCAGTTGGAAAAAGTGAAAGGCCAAATCAATTATGACATGATATGTAGTTGGAAAGCGTCGGAAACCAAAAGTTCTGATAAGGGACAACTTAACCCAGATTTATGTAAATTTAATTAAACAAAAACAGTTTATATATTTTTTTTTTCATTTTAGTTGATGATCGAATGAATACATATATCCGTTTTTTACGTCAAATTATGCAGCTTGACACTTTCTTTGTTTTGGTCTAATTGTTCTGGATGCTTAAGATAGTTGTCTTATTGGCAAGTGCAGTATAACATTGTCATTTATTTACTTGATGTTGCAGAATTATTTGTAAATTTAAGTTGAATGTGGTCTCCATCATTAAACCACCCTATAAATCTCAAGGTTTTGGGGTATATCTTAAATCTGGGAACTACTTTTTATTTTTATTAAAAAGTAGATCTGGCAAATAGGTGAAAGGACTGGCAAAACTTTCTTACAGCACTTAAATTTCACATATATTACATAAAAATCTAAACACTTAACCACACCTACCCCAACTATAAACTGTAGGGTGATCATATGGGATCTAGAAAGGCAATTAGTTACTGTCCAACTAGTGACACCAGCTGCAGTTTACATAAGTTTTGAGAAAATACAAAACTGACAGAACGTTTAAAACGGGACACAAATTAAACGTACAATTGCTCGTCAGTGAATAAACCAAATAAAACAGCTAAGCACATATACAAAGAAAGAAACACATTTAAGATGGAAACACATCTGTGGTTGATATAATGTGATTATAACATGCCTAAATATTCAATATTGTGTTGATGAAAAAACCCAATACATTAAGGAGCTTGGTGGTGAAAAACCGAATTTGATATTTGCTTGAGGGGTGAATTGGAATTGATAATGCAATTAAAAAACTTTATCACCCAATAACATAAAAAATGGTGGGTAAAAACCCCAATTTGTGAATTCTTATCTGGAGCTCTTGGCCCCTTATCAGCCCGAGAGCCGACAGGCTCGAGGGATGATTTTGACCATGGGCTGATAAGGGGTCTGATATGAAAAACGACATGTTATGTTCTTTTTATCATATACTTCAGCAGAAGACATACAGACAAAACTATTTTTAAAACTTTGAAACAATGCATTTGTTGTAATATTTGTTTTGTATTTTTTAATAATATATTTTCCTGATTATTAATATTTTCTTTTTCTCCAACTTTGTTATGTTCTGCTAAAAAAAAACGTACCATTTAGGTACATTTTCCGGAATTTGCCGAATGACGTCGAACTGTCGTGCGATAACGTTACAGAAAAGCATGCGATAATAACCGGAAGCAGTTGATATGAAACGGAAGCAGTTGATATAAACCGGAAGCAGTTGATAACAAAAGTCATATCACACGGCTAAGGCAATTCTTCAAATTTAATGAATAAATATATGTACAAATAAGTTTTATCATGGATACAATTATACCATTATTTTCTATAAGTATATGATAAAAACAAATACAAATAAATAAACATACATATTATAAAACTGAAGTACAATGTAAAGTAGAGACATAAAGTGGTTACCCAGGGGATTCTATGCATTCTTAATTATTCGTATAAATGTGCACAACTTGTCACAAGTTAGTTCAGACGGGTTGTTGCTATTAATTAGATCTTGAAATTTTTAAAAATATTTGGTCTGTTTACAAAAAATGATGCTTTAATTGTCTACTTTCATTTATTGCCGAACATTCCAAAATATAACGAATCTTGACGTCAATATCACCGGAATTACATAAAGGACAAATACGGTTTTCCCTCTTAATATTTTGCCATCTACCAATTTCAATAGGAATTTTGGTATTCAAAGTTTTAAATCTTCAAAAAGAAGCAATATTTTTGTCATCTAGAATAATGAAGAAGGTTTAAAATTTTAGACTGTGTTTGACTAATTTTTAATTTAGAGCTTTTGGAGAGTTCTGTAAAGTAGCATAGCATATCTGTCTAAACTGGTCAGTTAATCTTAATTTAACAGTATTATAGAACCAGTTGTTACTAAAAAAAATTTAGTGTTCCATATATTTGATAGTCCACAATTAAGTAATAGTTATACACAGAGGGATAGGATTGTCTGGACAAGAAACCCCTCCGGCCTCCGGCCGTCGAGGTTTATTATCCAGACACACAGTATCCGGAAGTGTATAACTAACTTACACCCGATGCTAAACCCTATATTTGTTTACATGGAATATTAGATGAAAAAGAACAGATAGCATTTTTATTGACAATATCAAACCATGATTAATAAGAATTTTTTTTTTAAATGAAACCCCACCAGTAACCTTCTTTTGACGATCTTCATTCAAACTTTAACAAGTGAGTAGATTTTACAAATTTCAAAGTTGTTGTTTTGCATATTCCCGTTAATTCCATGTGCTAACATGGATCTGCAGGTCAAGGTTGGCCGTATCGTGCATTCTTATCATAAAAAAATACATCATGATCCTTGTATGCAGTTGTCAATATGGACGGGTATAAGACGGACGACATTTTGAGTCGGGCGTTGTATTTGGCAGAAGTGACTGAAGATAACGCAATATGTATAACCCAAAGTACTTACATGTATCAGTTTAATGAAGGTAATCATAAATGTATTTCACATGTTACGGTTTTATCAAAAAAAAGCCCCCCTTCTTCTGAACATTAAAGAAACATTCATATTCGAACATACTGAGGGATAGGTGTGTCTGGATAAGAAACCCGACGACCGGACACGCTTAACATTCAAAAATACAGATTGCTTATGTAGGAACCCCCCTTTTTTGGACAATCGAAAGGGGGGGGGTCCGGGGTTTGAAACCCCTTTTTTTTACAATCAATGCTTTTGAATGGGGACAAATGGCTGAACCCCCCCCCCCCCCCCTTTTTTATCCTGGGTTAGCAAGTCCTTTTGAAAATGGCCGGATCCGCCCCTGGGTGCCATCATTAGTCTTCAACAATCCAAACATTAATATTTATTTTATGATTAAGACTTAGTCCAAATGAAAACTATATGCTTTTAATGTATAATTCAAATAAAAGTTCTTTACATGTATATTCTTTCAGACATTGCCTTATGGGATTAAAATTGTAGCTTCAAGCAAAGACATATTTATTTTTTTTTTTAATTCAAAATACAAAATAGATATCTTTTTCGCTATTGGAATTTCCTGAAAATATGTTTTTTTAATATGTTTTGAAATAACTTGTAGTGAACAATATTAGTAATCTCTGATGTTCATGCAATTAAAAAAAAAACAATTTCTATTGTTATGAATAACAATGGACTGTGCATTCGGGATGTAGAAGCAGGGGTTTCCAGAAACCCCGCTCGTCACACCCTGTGGACAAAATCCATTGTCATTCGTAACAATAGATCTATTCAATATACACTTGTTTCAGAAACAGAAACTATGAAGTATAACAATAGAACTGGGGTGTAACAAGCACACACTTTACATTTCTACACTAAGCTATGTTTCCATTTTAACTACCAGTAACAAGATTGTATAAAATAACAGGAAGTTTCTTTTCTTCTACGGTTACAAGCTTTGCCCAATAAATAATAGTTCGTAATGTGATAAAAAATATATCCAGCGGGTATCGACCAAGGTCCCCATAGATCACGAAGTCAGGTGTGGAATTTTTTTTAGATTAAACAGTAGTTTACAAAATTTAAGATGAACACGTTCTATAACAGAGGGGTAACCCATTCCCACAGGCACTTCACACCTGTACAGTAATATCGGCTGAACTACTTTGTCAAATAATTCTAGTTGACATTTAATGTTCAAATTATGTAATCTCCCCTTCTTTTAAGTATCGTACATAGCCCTTGTTGCTTTTTCAGCTTGCGTTTTTAACGCTTTTTGTGAAACTTCCTGTTCTTGAAAATAAAACACCAAGATATGTAAATTCTTCAACAATGTAACTCATTTTCATCATATTTAAAAATAACATTCTGTAGTCGTCTACCTTTTGAAAAAATTACCACTAAATATTTTGCTTTTTTGTATATTGATTTTCAACTTCCGTTTATCACAATATCCTTTTAAAGCGTCTATTTGTTATTGTATATCTGCTTTGTGTTTCTGACATAAGTTACAGTGTCGTCTGCGTGCAGTAAAATAAACAGTTTTAAATGCATAATTAGCTCGCTCTCTATTTGATCTGATAAAGATTTTAATCCATTTATTTTTTTGAGAAATGCAAGTACAAATGTAGTTTGGAAATCCAAACATATTTGTCATTCTGAAAATTGTCTGCACGATAGTACTAGTAACCAGTTCCGAATCTAATGTAAGCGTACAAATACAGAGCTCATGCTCCTGGACTTATTCTTTGTGCAGCAATAAGCGAATCATAACAAAATGAATTAGCAATGATGCAGGTGCAATTTGATTCAGACATTAATATTTACACTTTGCTCGCAGACATTAAAGAAAATATTGATGATGATGACGGATGGCTGTTTAGCGTCCAGTAGTAAATTATAAAACGACCGACACGCTGAGCCGGAGAGTGCTAGATTACAAGGAAATATCCCGCAGTAAGACATGTCACCCTACCCTGGCACACCTTTGCTCTTACTCCTAAATACCGCGTGAGTAGCGGAGGAGCACCAAATACGTATTTTCAAGTCTTTTGTTGGACCCCGCCGATGATCGAAGTCACGACCTCATACACTTGAGGCGACCACGCTCCCACAAGACCAACGAGCTAGTTGCGGTCGAAGAAAAATGAAATTGGAATCAATTTAGCAAACCCTATGTTACCATTTGTTTTGTTACTATCTTAAATATGACCTTTCTATCAATAAAAAAATTGAAATATTTTGAAAGTTCGTTTTGGTGACATCCTCTGAAAAATTTCTGGATCCGCCCCCTGTAATTGTTATTATATTCGATGAAAAGCTCACCAGAGTTTATGTTCAAATGTGTGTCAGTCTTCTACGAAAGCCTATTAGGGTCACAAAAAAAAACAAAAAATATTTATCTCGTAATTACGAGATAAATATCTCGTAATTACGAGAAAACTATCGCGTAATTACGAGATAATTATCGCGTAATTACGAGAAAACTATCGCGTTATTACGAGATAATAATTTTTTATCTCGTTATTACAATATTATCGCGTAATTACGAGATAACTATCGCGTAATTACGAGATAAAATTACATACATATATATATATAGATATTGATATACAGATCATGATTACCCTTCCGGGGCACCTGATAAAACGCCCGTTTTTATTAGCTCAACTGACCCAAAGGGTCAAGTGATCTTTTCCCATCACATGGCGTCCGTCGTCGTCCGTTAACTTTTACAAAAATCTTCTCCTCTGAAACCACTTGGCCAAATTGAACCAAACTTGGCCTTAATCATCCTTATGGTTTCTAGTTTAAAAAAATGTATCCAAAGACCCCGCCCACCAACCAAGATAGCCATCATGGCTAAAAATCAAACATGGGGGGGGGGGGTAAAATGTAGTTTATGGTTAATATATCTGAAACTAAAGCATTTAGAACAAATATGACAGGGTAAAAATTTCAGACAAATCAGACTTCCCGTTGTTGGGATGCTGCCCCTGAATATTATGATAGAAAGATATAAACTGTAGGAGCAAAAATGTTTAGCCAAGTAAGATCTACAAATAAGTCAAATGACCAAAATTGTCAATTGACCCCTTAAGGAGTTATTGCCATTTAAAGTCATTTATGCAATTAAGTAAATTTTTTTAATCTTTTACAAAAATCTTTCTCCTTTTAATCTACTTGGCCAAATGAATTTTTATCTCGTAATTACGAGATAGTTTTCTCGTAATTACGCGATAATTATCTCGTAATTACACGATATTTATCTCGTAATTACGCGATAATTATATCGTAATTACGCGCTAGTTATCTCGTAATTACGATATAATTATCTCGTATTTAAGAGATAATTATCTCGTAATTACGCGATAGTTTTCTCGTAATTACGCGATAGTTATCTCGTAATTACGAGATAATTATTTCCTAATTACGAGATAAAAAACTTCTTATCTCGTAATTACGCGATAGTTTTCTCGTAATTACGCGATAATTATCTCGTAATTACGAGATACGAGATAATTATTACTAGATAAAACTATGATCATCTCGTAATTACGAGATAAAAATCTTATCTCGTAATTATCGCGTAATTACGAGATAAAAATAATTTTTTTTTGTGACCCTAATAGGCTTTCGTAGTCTGCCGATTCAAAAATAAAGTTTTACTTTTACTTTATGTAATAATTAACCAATTAGTCGTGCATTAACTTACAACAGCTAACAACTGGAAAACAGTGCAAACGTAATATATCAATGGAGTCTCTGTAAAACTGTCACAGCGATATCCAAGAGATCTGTTAACGCTGATATCAGCTAAGCACAGGAACGCAGCAACAAAACATGAAACCTACATAATCAAATTATAAGATCATATTAAGAATAATAACTTATGAAATATTCAAGTCTCCTTTAATCTTAACTCTTCGACGACATTTCTCTAAGTGATGTACAAAATTAATATTTAGACATAATAGTCTATATTCTTCACAAGGTCTTCAATATGTTTAGTTAGAATTACATATGTAATGTCTTTAGACTGTTCATGTAGGACATGGACATTTTCTCAAGACGCTGACATAGATTTGAAATGAAGCTTTATCTATTGAATGTTAAAATCCAAATAATTCTTTTTTTTATTACTTCCAATTTGAAATGAATCCGTAACACATTACGTTGGAAATCCTTGGGGCGTCAATTTGTTTTTACAGTTGTTGGATATTTAACACCTTTCGTTTCTTTTTTTACATATAAATACCAATTCACATGACAATAAATCAATTATTCTTAGTATTTGTAAGAGAATGATAATCCCTTTCTTCATGATTAAGTACGAGCGTTAGACGTTTTATTGGTCGAGAGCACTTTGCTATATTCTAAGTTAAACTGCTATGTTTAGTCACAATTATATAAATAAACAAACAATTAAATAAGTACAGTTTGATAGTTAATAAGTAAATAAATGTGCGTTTAGTGAGTGTATAGTTTGTTAAGAGTGAAATATCAATTTAAAAAGTTTGAATGTAACTTTAACTTTTTGGGGAAAAAAATAAAACTCTGATAACTATATATATTAATTTATATTCGTCATCTATTGGTCCCAAATACAAGAAAATAATTTCTGGTGTGGAAAATCTGTCATATATCATATTAATATTTTCACATTCAACTTAATCATGTACGCATTATTTTATTTTTTGTTCTTTTTAAATAATAAGGAGATGTGGTACATGTAGGATTGCCAATTAGACCATTTTTCACAAAGACCAAATGACAAATGAGTTGTTATCTTTAACATGACCGAAATAAAAAAAATATATATCTTACCTAGAAATAAACGTTATCATCGGATTACAAATAATTTTTAAAATACACACAAGTTATGTAGAAAGTTTTATAAAATATCGTTTAATGAAACTACACTACAAGTGTTAACTTACAGTTTTCACAATACTGAGTAATGTCAAAGGAATTTGTTGTCTCTGCCGTTTGATAATGTTGTAGATATAGAAGGGTAGGCTAAGAATCAGCCATCCTACCGATATGCATACGGGAACGATGTTCCGAAAGCAATCCGTAAAGTTAGGACCAGAAGCTGATAGTTGTTCATCACTCTATAAAATCATAAAAACAAAATGTGAGAAACAGAATCAATATTCGGATTAGAATAGGATTGAGGAAAGAAATTGATCCTTTTTATAAAAAAATATTACCGGTAAAGACAAACTTTTATAATTTCATATGTGAAACTTTTTCTTCACTTTTTAAAAATTAAATTTACAAACAGAGGTAGAAAGTAATGCAGTTAAAAATACATAAAACCGTTATTAAAAAAAGACTTACCCAGATTGATGAATTCCCACAGATAGATGACATGCTGTTCAACCGTGAGAGAAGCATACAAAACTGAACTGAAAACCAATTTACAAGCCTCAGATTAAGATGGTTATTTAGTTTTAATTTACAAAAGTACAGTAAAATATTCCTTGGGGGCTAAATGTTGGTATTTAAGTTTTTGTTATAAACAGAATTAGAGAGATAATGTATTTGTATTCTACGTAATATCTAATTACGTATCATAATATCAATACACAGCGTAATCTTAAGAAAATACAGAGACATATACCGAAAAAGATGAAGAAAAAGTTTTAAAATATAATCTTTTACAAAACAAGATGTAATATTAATGTCCTATAATTATCAATTAACTATTATAAAATTGTCTTGCTTTTTAGTGTGATTTTAAAACCTCATACATTTTGTCGGTGTTTACAAATAGCCATGTAAGGGACACGGACACACATATATATATATAAATCCGTTCCCTTAAAATGTTATAAGTTTCCATGTGATATTTCATTTAAAAATTATCAAAAAGAACTTTGTCCCTCAAGATATTTTGTTTGTACGGGAGATTTCCTGAATTCACACTGCTTATCATTTCGTTCCTTCGAAATATTTCAGATTTACAATCCCCACCCCCCCCCCCCCCCCCCCCCCCCCCCCAAAAAAAAAGTGGGATTCAACTCGTTAGATCGTTAGATAGTCTTTTAATATGTAAAGATTCAAGTAAGTTTATATTGGAAGTATAAAAAAAGTCTATTACGAAATGTCGTTACAATGAATTTGGCAACTCGCCTCGAGTGTATTTATTCAAGACCTGAAAAACGAAGGTTGCAGTTACCGTGCATAACAACTGTTCATGTGTTCCACGGGATACGATTGCCATTGCTACTGTGAAATGCAGCTATGCCAATATTTGACCCAATAATGTTGAGGTCAGTTCTAACCTCTCTTTAGAATTGTCAGAATAATCTGTCATAGAACTATTTTACCCTGAAACTGTCCGAATCAGTTCTATATGGTTGAAGAGAGGCGAAAAATACAACAGAGATTTTCAAACTCATAAGTCGAAAATAAACTGACAACGCCATGGCAAAAAAAAAAGAAAAAGACCAAAAGAACTGTATACAAAACACAGCATAAAAAAAGACTAAGCAACGCGAACCCCACCAACACCCGGGGGTGATCTCAGGTGATCCGGAAGCCCGGGGTAAGAAGATCCTGTTGCACATGTGGCTACACATGTAGAACTATATGATTCAGTTCTAGGGTAAAACTGTCAGAATTAGTTCTAGGTTACAACTGGCCAACACTGTTCTAAGGTAGAACTGTCAGAATTAGTTCTAGGGTACAACTGCCCAACACTGTTCTATGGTAGAACTGTCAGAATTAGTTCTAGGGTACAACTGCCCAACACTGTTCTATGGTAGAACTGTCAGAATTAGTTCTAGGGTACAACTGCCCAACACTGTTCTATGGTAGAACTGTCAGAATTAGTTCTAGGGTACAACTGTCCAACACTGTTCTGAGGTAGAACTGTAAGGATCAGATCTGTGGTAGAATTGTCAAAATATGTACTAGGGTAGAACTTTCAGAATCTGGTATAGGGTAGAACTGTCAGAATCTGGTCTAGACTAGAACAGTATACAAATAACACATAGCTGCTGGGTGATAGAGTAGATTGTTACCCCGAGAAGTTGACAACGTTGTTTTGATGGGTAACAATCTGCTCTATCAAGCAATCCGCACCCTTGAAAAGTAAACTTACCATGGGATAGAGTAAATTATCTCCCTCGTATTAATTAACCAATCAAAGTCTGGCATTTTAACATGGAGTATAATAATTCTAAATGACGTAAATAAAAGCAGCTCTGTGTTTTTGGAAAGCTGCAGCTGTCATATATCAGAGATTAACAAAACGTTTTGCTGAAGCTATTGATTTAAAATTAAGACAGCGTGATGATGAATCGAGTTATTAAAATACTAACTAATATCAACATAACTCAAAACCTGATATATGTGGTTACTTGAACCCAACCTAAATGTGGTATTCAATGTGTGGGACAGACGGGACGAGAGTATTACAAAAGAAATCAAGAACACCTTTACCGCTTTCGTAGACCCAAAAAATTCAAAAGTTTGATATATCAACATTTAGATAAGCATAGTCACAATCTTAGATTTATAAAAGTCCAACCCCTCGAAACCGTTCAGAAACAACCAAGAGAATCACACAAGCAATTTGAAAAATCACGTGAAGTTCGCGAATTATTTTGGATAAAAAGACTTCAAACAGCTTCTCCTCTCGGTCTAAATGACAAAATATTAGGACAGGGGAACATAGCTAAAACTTCTATCGATGTCATATTGTTGATAAACGACTTAGAAATAAAAGGTTTCATGGTAAACGCAAAAACCGTAATCAACGTATTAAACATCGTATAAATTATACACTTGCTGATCTGTTATCTATAATAAAAAATAATGGCAGACATCAAGTATTATGCAAACTGGGTCAGATACCAATAAGTAAATTATATGCTATTTTTCTGGAGTGTGATACAATTTCTTTTTTTTTAGCCCGTTTTATGAATACACCCGTATTATTACAGCCTTTTGTCATCACAGGCTGTTTCCTAGTATCGATAAACCTGAAAATCATAAACGACATTTTCTTAAATTAAAATATATAAATAGAGGTATTGATTTTATTAACTTATCTAGCATATTCAATGACTCTTCCGTCTATAGCCAAATACCTCCATATTTTGATAATATAGAACCACCAATTATTTCGTATTCTTATAAAAAACCGAACAGAAGTTTGATTTTTAATTATACGTCAGTTACATCAGACGTCAATATAGAAAATAATGTTCCTTCCACTTGAGACTGTGAAACATCTAGTTTTAGATATGTTCCCTATGGTCATGTTATTACAAGAGACCACAGCATCGTCGAAGACCGTGAGGTCAAAACTTTTCTAAAGAAAGGACCGAAATACCGTCCTCCATCTATAATAGATTGAAAACAGTGTCGTCAGGTCTTTAAAGACGCTCTGTCTGCCTACTGTAAAAATTGGTGCAAACGTGAAAAATCTGATAAAAAATCTCTAGACAGTTATTTGAATAAAATTATGAATACTGTTAATATTCGAATATCTCATTTTGAAAACAATTCTGAAATTAATAAAAGGGTCCATGATATTCCCATTTCTAGAATAAAAAGTACTCGCAGAGCGGTTTGTGTTCGTACCGGCAGACAAGGCAGCCAATAATGTAGTGGTGGTATGACGCATATACTACACGGAAGTTCTTCAAAACGAAATTATCAATTCCTAGATACATTCAGCTAGTCCGTACGCACCACTGAGAGTCAAATCGTTAACAAGCATATCACTGCCACTACCCAGCTTAAAGCCTCTTCCGAACATTTGAAAGTCCCTACCATGTACTGGTTACCAAAATTACACAAAAAAACATTTAAATTCCGTTTCATCTCCGCATCTAGTAAGTGTTCTACTACTAATCTATCAGTACTTCTTACTACCTCCCTTACTACTATCAAAGAACTGGTTATTAACTTTTGTAATAAAGCTTATGAAAATAATGGTATTAATTTTTTTTGGAGTGTTATAAATTCTTTAGAGGTTTTAGATAAAATACATGCTTTTGATGGTCCTTTTAATTCTGTTGACAGTTATGATTTTTCTACTCTCTACACTACACTTCCACACAATCTAATAAAGAAAAAGTTTTCCTATTTAATAAAATGGTCTTCCGAAAAATCTCATTGTAAATTTATTTGCTGTAACTCGTTTAAAGCCTTTTTCTGTAATAACGAAAAAGGAAAGTATGCTAGATACACTTACTGGAAATGTGAGGATATGATTGAAGCTTTAAATTTTCTCCTAGATAACATATATGTACGTTTCGGCGATAAAGTGTATCGTCATGTAGTAGGTATTCCTATGAGCACTAACTGCGCCCCTGTAATAGCAGATTTATTCCTGTATTGCTATGAATCTCAGTTTATGACCAAACTCAGTAAAGACACATCATTGTTACATTTGGTTGATACATTCAACAATACCTACCGTTATCTGGATGATATTTTTTCGTTAAATTATCCAGAGTTCTCTAAATATACTACCGAAATTTACCCAAAAGAACTTACTTTAACTAAATCTAACATAAACAGCAGCAGTTGTCCTTTTCTAGATTTAGACATTTCAATTTCTAAAGGGAAACTCCATACTAAAATTTACGACAAAAAAGACGATTTTTCATTCCCTATTGTTAATTTTCCTTTTAAAGACGGCGATGTGCCTTTGGCTCCATCATACGGTGTTTATATATCCCAACTCGTTCGGTATGTCCGTGTGTGTAGTGATGTCATAGATTTTAACGAACGTAATCAATGCATCACTGGTAAATTATTAAGTCGGGGATTTCGTTACCATAAATTACTTAAAACTTTAACTAAATCATTTCATAGATACAAAGATTTAATTAGTAAATTTGGCTGTACCTGTAGAAAACTTATTAAAAATGGTATTTCACATCCTAAATTTTACGGTAATATTGTACTTAAAGCGCGGAAATCACTATGTGATCCGTGTCAACTCATCGAACTTTTAAACAAACTTATTAGTAAGGGTTATCGTACCAATGTTGTAATTAGATCTCTGAATATAGTTTACATTGGCACTAATATCGAATTTGTCATTAGCAAATTAAAACATAACTAAATATGTATTTTATTTTCAAACGGAATGTATAGAGACACACACACGTTCATTTTTATCTATAAAGAAGTCACTCCTAACTATCCTACTACCTGTCGATACATTTATTTTTGGCATTGCACAAGTCATGTCTTCTTTGACTGTTCGTGACGTTAAAATACTAAATCCCTGGGATGTGTTTTAGTTGATTTCAGTCTCTGATGGGTGATTTTTTATTATTAATTGTTTTGGCTTTTAACTAGCTGTCAGTAACTGCGAGTACTCTCAAATCGTACTTTCTTGTTAATTTGACCTGTTGATACTAGTTGTAATGTTTTTTTT